TTTAGTTTTTAATAATTTTACTTTTATGGTTGTTTTTGGTCTTTTAGCCGTTTCTTTTAATTTTTTCAAGATTGGATTAGACATCACATCGACTAAATTGGATGACACTTATTTGTTATCATGTTGATATTCCCTACTTTGAATCCTCATATTGGACTTGGATATGCGATTTACAATCATAGATAGTTTTCTCACGACGCTCGATTCTTATTTGAGTTTGTCGGTAGTCTTTCAGTAGTTTAATCTCTTGTTATAGTTCGTTTGTTGATGCGGTCAGCAGGGACAGAGCAATGATACTAGCTTAAGGGGGCAAAGTATAATTAACCATTTAAAATGAGAGGGGGTAAAGTATAATTAGCCAGAGGAAATGAGATGGGCAAAATCAAAATAAACTAAAATTAGAAGGTCTAATTTAGTATTTACCCATGTATTTTTTAAAATTATAAAAAAACATAGGTAGTGGACCCCATCAAATTTGTTCATATTTGTCTTTTGGTTGAGTTTTTTTATGAGTTTTAACTTTTTTTCTTGTATGATCTCGAGTAACTAATTTACCGTGTTAATGCTTATAAAAAAGTATTCTAATTATTTGTTTAACTTAAGAATTTAATTGTAATTTTAAATATTTTCTCATTTCAATAAAACTAACGTATCTATTTACATCAAAAAAATTGCAATTTTTTCTTTTTTTCAGATTGTATTTATAGTCGTCTTTTTAATCTTTTTTCAAAAAAATTATCAATGTGTTGTCATGTTTTCTTATTTATCATCACTAATAATGATATTTATTTGTGTATTTTGTTTTCTAAATTGTTTAGTCTGCTGAAATCAAGCTTGGTTTTTTAATGACGTTAAAGAGAAGAATTGAGGTGACAATTAGGCCTCTAAACGAACCGAACGAACACGAATTGGGTATGTTCATGTTCGTTCGTTTAATTTTAACCGAACAAATGAACGAACACGAACATAAACGAACGAAAAATTTATTGTCTGTGTTCGTTCGTTAAGAAATGTAGCTTGTTCGTGGTTGTTCATGTTCGTTCATTTAAATTATAAACGAACACAAATGAACGAACATAAACGAATGGATGTAAACAAACAGAAACGGACACAAATGAACGAACGTAAACGAACACAATAAATGAATTTAAACGAACATAAATGAAAATATATTTTTTTCTTTACTAACAATTTTAGGATTATATTTTATTTAGTTGTTTTGAGTTTTTTTTATTTGTATTTAAAATTAATTGAATTTTAAAATATTTATGGGTATTAAATTAAATTTTATTGGGCTTTAAAAATTTAAATAGATCTAGAGAGATTGTGATAAACATAAATGAACACACATAAACGAAAATAAACGAGTGAACATAAACGAACATAAATAAACAAACATAAACGAACATAAATAAACGAACATAAACAAACATATTACCGAACGTTCACGAACGTAAATGAATGAACGAACCCTCTGTTAATATTCGTTCATTTAAGTAAGTGAACACAAAATATTATTCATGTTTATTCGTTTAATAAATAAACGAACATAAACAAACTTTTTACCGAACGATTTACGTACGATTCGCTAAACATTCAATTATTTTACAGGCCTAGTGGCAATTAAAATAACAATATGTCTAGAAAAATCTTGAAATCCTTAGCAATTAAGGATAAGAAATCATGACATTATCTATTGATGTGATGACAAAAGTATGGAAGTTTGATGTTTAATCAAGATAACCTTAAGGAGTATGTGAGTAACCTTAAGGGGTGCTTGGATCAAGGAATGTGAGATTCTCTTGGGAATGAAATCCACATTCCCATGTTTGGTTGGCCGGGAATCTCATTCCTGATAATGTTTTATTACCAACAGTAGATTTTTTTGGGTATATTACCGGGAATGTCATTACCTCCATTTCCTTAGGTATTGTTGGATTACCGGCGTTTTGGACTAAAATGCCCTTAATTTTTTTCTCAAAAATATTCTTCTTCTGTCATTGAATAATAAAAATTATACGAAGGTTAAATTACAAATTTATCCTTAAACTATTTTAGATTTACAAAAAAGTCTATAATTAAAATTTTATATGAAGTTTAGGGGTTAAAATAAAATTTTACCATTTCATTAAACATTTTTATATTTTCAATTTTGTAAAAAATATATATAAAAATTTTATGAATTTAATTTTTTTAAAGAAAATGTATAAATATTTTCCAACTTGTTAAAAAAAATATATAATAAGGACAATTTGGTCAAATATACATTACAATAATATTTTATTCCTTTAACCAAACACGGTAATCTTACATTCATGCTAAACCAACCAAACACAAAATACAACATTCCCAGTAATCATATTCCCTAGTAATCTTACGTTTCCACTGGTAATCTTACATTCCGTGAACCAAACGCACCCTTAAAGAGTATGTGAGTGAAAGTGAGAAAAAATACGAGAGATAACTTAGCAAAGTTTTAAATAACAGAGTTGTATTTGTGAACTAACCGAATCTAATATTTGTATCATATTTGTATTTTAATTTGTATTAATATTATTGTACGAATTATAAATTTATCGAGTGTTTAAGTATGCTTCCAACATAGTCGATTATTTAATCATCATTTTATGAAATAAATGGAGGATGATATTTTAGAGAAAAACATTATATTTGTTCGTATCATGTTGGTCATAATAAGGAAATATAATCAAATTCTTTAGTTAGTCATCAAGATTTTCTTTAGGTCCCGTTTGATTCAAGAAATGTTGTATTACCAGGGGAATAAAATCCTCATTCACCTGTTTGGTTAGCCGATAATCTCATTCCCGATAATCTTTTATTACCAACAGTGAATTTTTTGGAGTATATTACCGAGAATATCATTACCCAGTTCCCTTAGGTATTGTTGGATTACCGACGTTTTAGACTAAAATGCCCTTAATTTTTTTTTCAAAAATATAATTCTTTTGTTGTTGAATACTAAAAATTCTACGAAGGTTAAATTACAAATTTATCCTTAAACTATTTTAGATTTACAAAAAAAATCTATAATTAAAATTTTATATGAAGTTTAGGGTTAAAATAAAATTTTACACTTTCATTAAACCTATTTATCTTTTTAATTTTGTAAAAAAAAATTATATAAATTTTATGAATTTAAATTTTTTAAAGAAAATATATAAATATCTTATAGTAATATTATAGTAGAATTCAACTTGTTAAAAAACAAATATATAATAAGGACAATTTGGTCAAATATACATTCCAATAATCTTTTATTCCTTTAACCAAACACGGTAATTTTACATTCCTGCTAAACTAACCAAACACAAAATACAACATTCCTAATAATCATATTTCTTGATAATCTTTTATTCTCACTGATAATCTTACATTCCGTGAACCAAACATACCCTTAATAGAAAAACTTAATATTTAATGAGGCCATGGTTCTATAAGAATATTTTCAAATTGCTGGATATATCTAAAATTTGGATCTCCATTGTACCGTTGAACAACGGCTATCTCTTACAACGGTTAAAAAATGCGGTAAATTTTAAAATTTTAAAATACATCTCCTTCCAACGGTCACCAGGTTTAAATTTCGTGCTTTCTTTCTTCCTGACACAAGCAAACGAAAGAAAGCATTTCCGATCAAAACTCAAAGAGAAAGAAAAGATGAAAGGGCCTGAGAGAAAATTATCTTTCTCTTCTCCTCCTGCTTCTTACAATGGTAAGATTTTCTTCCTTTCTTTCTCTCTGAATATTTGGGTTTTTTGTTCTAATTTGTGTAGTTCTGGATTTTTCATAGGTTCGGATGGGAATTTGCAAACACAGTAGAAACACAAGTTGATGATTTTCATGTCGCCAACTGTTCGTGCAGCTTCAAATATCAGTTTTCCAAGAAAGAAAGTCTTAGGCGAAAGAAATGAATCTCCAGGATCCTTTCTTTCTCTCTGAATATTTGGGTTTTTTGTTCTAATTTGTGTAGTTCTGGATTTTTCATAGGTTCGGATGGGAATTTGCAAACACAGTAGAAACACAAGTTGATGACTTTCATGTCGCCAACTGTTCGTGCAGCTTCAAATATCAGTTTTCCAAGAAAGAAAGTCTTAGGCGAAAGAAATGAATCTCCAGGATCAAATCCCACCATTACCCATTTCTCCAAATCCCCAAGTATTGATTCGAAGCCCTTACCAAAGAACATTTCAAAAGATTCCCAGAAGAATTCCCCAAATCTTCATCCCAAAAAGCCTTATGACCCATTGAAGAATTACCTTTCACCGAGGCCTCAATTCCTGAGGTACAATCCTGATAGGCGAAAAGATATCCTTTTACGCCTTGAAATGAAGGACAACGAAGGGGATGATTGCAGTGCTGAATCTGATGAAGCTGACACTGTTTCTAGTGACAATTCTTCTTTGGCATCTTCTTCTTCACAAGAAGATGAAGAAGTCGGAGACGAAGATGAGTCTTTTGGAGAAAAAAGAGGTAGAGGAGGAAGAAGCATGGAGTTTCCGAGGAGTGTTGAAGTATTTCCTATTGTCCGTTGTTTTACTTACATGACACCGGCGCATCGATGGGGTCAGAAGATATTGCATGTACAGGCAGAAAGTATAAACTCTATTTCTTAGAACAGCTGCTGTCGATAAATTCTCCAAATATAGGAATTTGGAGAGTTAATCTACAGCCGCTGTGCTGAGAGATAGAGTTTATACATTCTGCCGCCTGTACATGAAATATCTTCCGACTCCAGCGATGCTCGGGTGCCACGTAAGCACAACAGCAAACTTCACTTATTCCAACAGAACCTCTCGCTCTTCCTGACAAATTTGGACACATGTCTGCCATGGAAGTGCAACAAGATGATCACACAACTATAGGCATTCCTCTAATCTGCATAAATTAGAGGAGGTGGATCGCAGCTGTTAGAGAAACGAAAAGGTTAAAACTGGAAGGAGGGCGGCAGTATGAGATTACTATCATGGAACATTAAAGGAATGAGTTCGGAAGTAAAAGTTTCAGCAGCTCGGAAGTTGTTTCGTTGTCAAAGAGTAGAGGTGGCTTACATTCAAGAAACTGAGAAGGAAATGTTTTCGGAAGATGATGTTAGAAAGGTATGGTATGATGATGATTTTGATTTTCGGAAGGAGGGCCTCAGCTGCGGATTGGTTACAATATGGGATAAGAGTAAATTCCAGGTAGAGAGGTGCTTTATTGGTAGTTGTATCGTACTAGTTGAAGGCAAATGGATTGGGGATAACAAGAAATGTATACTTACAAATATGCACCTTGCAAATTATCAGAACAGAGGATACTGTGGAGCAAAATTGAAGCAATGAAAACCAGCTTCCAAGGAGAATGGTTTATGGGAGGTGATTTCAGCGTTGTGCGAAACAGGAAAGAACGAAGTGGATGCAGGAGTCGTCAATCAGGAATCGAGGATTTCAATTTTTTTTATAGAGAATTGCAAGTTATTCGATGTCCCATTGATAGGGAGGAAATTTACTTGGTACGGGTCAAATGGAAGAAGAAGTAGGCTCGATAGGGTGTTTGTGGAGGAAGATTGGATGGTTTCTAATCCAGATACTACACTTTGGGGTCTCTCTCGATCGGCTTCAGATCATCTTCCTAGACCTTTCAAATTCATCAATGTATGGCTAAAACAGGAAGGCTGTGTCGAAACTATTAAGGAAGCAATGGAAGCAGCAAACAAGACTGATAATGAGTTTCATAGCAAGTTAAAAATTATTAAAGGGGCTTTGAGGAGATGGAATAAGGAATCTTGCTCTGATTTTGACTCAAAGGCTCAAATTCTGGAAAGAAGAATTAACGAAATAGAAGAATTAGAGGATAAAGGCAAATCTGGACGTGAATTTGCAAGAAGAATTGTTACAAAGCAAACTACAATTGCGGGACACACTCAAAGCAAAGGAGGATCTTTGGAGACAAAAATCTTGATTTAATTTGTTAAGAAGTGGGGATTGCAACTCAACGTTTTTCCATAGGGCTGTTAAGATCCGAAGCAAGAGAAGGACGATTCTTGGTCCAAATTTAGGAGAAGGAAGTGGAGCTGATCCGAAGAAACTAAAACAGAAAGTTTTCAATCATTTTCAAGAACAGTTCAGCTGTAACAAAAGGGGCTGGCAGGCTATTTTTAACTTGGATTTCAAACGCTTATCAACAATGGCAGCAAGCAATTTGGAACTTCCGCTCTCATTAGAGGAAATCAGAGACGATGTTTGGAGTTGTGATGATTCAAAAGCACCCGGTCCTGACGGATTCAACATGCTTTTCTTCAAAAAGTGCTGGGAGATGGCAAATGATGATTTAGTAAAAGTGTTCGAGAAATTTTATAGGAATGGAAATCTCGAGAAGAATGTTAATTCTTCTATTCTTGCACTCATCCCTAAAACAAGTAGCCCAAAAGAAGTATCTGAATATTGACCGATCAGTTTGGTGACTTCGCTGTATAAAATTATTGCAAAGGTGCTCTCTCGAGAAGACTAAAGGGAGTAATGGAGAAATTGATAAGAGATACACATTGTGCTTTTTTGAAGGGCCGACAGATTTTTGATGGAATTCTTATTGCCAATGAAGTACTTCATTCGATGCAACAGGAAAGCAATGAGATGGGAGGGGTGATACTTAAGCTAGACTTTTTGAAGGCTTATGATTGCGTGAGATGAACTTTTTTAGATATGGTGCAGCAACGTATGGGATTCAGAATTAAATGGCGAGCTTGGATATGGGAGTGCATCTTAACAGTAAAAGTTTCGGTGCTTTTAAACAGCTCTCCAACAAAAGAGTTTAAGATGATGAAAGGCTTGAGACAGGGAGATCCATTATCTCCCTTCTTGTTCATAATGGTAACGGAAGCTTTACATTTAGTATTGGAAAAGGCGATTGAAAAAGGCTGTTTCTTTGTCCTGCCTTCATTTTCCTCGAGTTTCTTGGAGCTGTTTCTTTTATTTTCTATGAATCTGTTCAAGTAAACATCATATCTTCATATCTTTTTGTTTTTCTTTTAGCAACACATGGATTTATGGTTATTTGATGAATCTTGTTTTTTTTATCAGCATATAAAGCTTTAGGCTGTATAAATCACATTGGGCTGAAGGGAAAAGCAGTGAGGATAATGTGGTCTGAGAGAGATCCTTCAACAACAGAGATTGGTATTGCCAATCTCTTTGTCAAGAACCTGGCTGGACACTTGGTTGGAGGGAATCTTCAGCCCATTTGGGAATATTCTTTACTGCAAGATCGCTGAAGAAAATGGCAAGATCGGTCTCCATGATACCATGCTTAAAGGAAAAAGTTCTCTTTCTCTTTTTTAGTCTAATTTATGCACATCAGAGGAATGTCTATATTTGTATGATAAAGAGTTTGGATAGTTAAGTACAACTTGTTTCCTTTAAGCATAGTATCACTGTACAAACCCAAATCCTATTTGCTTAGGGGCCTACTTTGAGGGGGATATGTAGCAGTAGCTCAACGTAAACAAGACCGCTGCAAGGTATTGATTGAACTTGTTTGTTAGTATTTGCTAAACTCTCAACATATAATGTACTCTACATAGCTCGTCTCCCACTGCAGGTATTAGAGCAACTGCAATAATGAAAGGTAGACATCTTTTGCTTCTTTGGATTTGAAGAAACAATATTGGATGATTAATTAGTAGAATTTCAATCTATTAAATTAAATTTGTAATTTCCTAATAAGAATTAATCAATGAGATTTGATCTCGATATTACAACTCATCTACAAAGACGTTAACAATTTATTTAAAAGAATTCATAATATTAAACATGTTTAGTCCATACACGTTTACGAATTTATTCTAAAATCATTCATAAAATATGCTTAAGATTGGATTTAAAATTTATAATGTTTGGATTCCCTGAAAAGAAGGAAACATGGTCACTGATAGTATCACTTTTGTGTTTTTAAAATGTTACATTAACTCTAAAGATAAATGTTTCAAACTTTGTAAATTACTCTTTTACTTCTAAACCTGAAATGTCAATGGAACCCTTTCTCCATGAATTTGAGGGGCATTGATGCAATCATACACAAGTTAACTTTAAGGGCCCGCTTTTTGCATACATATTCTTCATGAATGGTTGCTCAAATTATATTATCAGAGGACACTACTATGGAGTCTGTAGTATCAGAGGTTTAAGTAATTTTGGATGTGAATTATATTCTCAAATTATAATGAATGGTTGCTCACCAGATACTTTTATACAAGTCATATCGATTAGGTTAGGTGGAGAAGCAATTCAATACGTGGATGAAATGGCCAAAAATTTGCAATTAACTTTGGCAAGGGTCAACATGATAAGATGTTACGCTTGAATTTTCTCAAGAAACAAACGCCACTGGAATGGGCCCTGCATTGACTTGACTGATGCCAGTTCCCCCTTATCTTCATTTTCTCAAGACAGTGCGTTTGCTTCATAGCTACAACAATTAATTTTAGGGGTAATTTCCAAGGTGTTTTTTATACATGACAGAGAGAATCCATAGGCAGCAAGGTACTTAATTCTTTCCATTGCAGTTTTTATATTAATTTTTTGTTTCCTTGTTGTTTCCTATATTTTAAATTTTGTCATTTGATGCTGGAAATTATATATATATATATATATATATTTGCAAAAAGAGATTGAAGTAGGAATTTGTAGTTGATTTATTGATCCTTAAATAGTACTGATTCTGCTGAATTTATTGACCAATTTCATCTTCCATCATAGGCCTCACAGAAATAGAAATAATTTATGGAATATATTAGAGAAAATACACTCTTGAGACATAAAGGATCAAAACCCTTTCATTTGATTATCTTAGAGATTGCGGAAACTAGTATTTTAGAGGATAAAATTAATAGAAAGAGCAATATAAGAAGAAAAATGAAATTATATGCATTCATGGTACATAGTATGTGATTTCAAGTTTATATACTTGAATCGAAGTAATAACTTTAATTTTGATTATGTTTTATGAACTTGAAAAGCTTCCAAAGAAAGAATAGAAAGATCATCCAAAGGCAAAGAGAAGGTTGTATAATGAAAGCCTTGGAGTGTTTATTTCTGGTGTCTTGGTTGATTAGCTAAGATTAAGATATTATCTGTTCGGAATCTTTCCAATCATTGCTAACACACGTAGACGCAACTACTCGAATTCGAGACCTTTAAGGAAAACAACACTCATTTTTACCACTTTAGTGACTTGGCAGGCTTGTCTTACTAAATTTTAAATATATATAATTTGTTTGAATGGCTTGATGTGAGCCATAGTGAACGATAGAGCGAGGAACAATTATAGTGAAGGACATCTATTTGTGAAAGATTACAGTAGCATATTCAACTGTAGACTGCCATTATTTTATCCCAGATTTGAGAAACCCGAAAAGAAAAAGCAAACACATTGAAAACGAATTGAAAAAGAGGGCATTTATTTATGGAGGTCCTGATTGGGATCCCTGAAGCCACTAAAATCAAGGAGTTCCCGTGTGCGAGGGTGTAGATTCAACCGAAGCACAACGACAGCTACAGCAGCTTCCGCCTGGCGGTGGCGGCCCGCAGCATACACAAGCGGGGCAGTAAACTGCATCAGACAAAACCAAGATTAACAAATCAAATTCCTAAAACAAATACAGGTCTTCAGTTAATATGTGTGTGTGTAGTGGTTTAAGGGGTTGTACCACGAGGAGGACGAGCCGCATCACAGGGTAACATGGGAGATAAAACCAGGGAGAAAATAACAAGGCATATCCCTACACATCTTGTGTAGTTCTCTGCCATATTTCCCTACAAGTTTAGGAGGAGTGCAATACTGGTACAAATTAAGAGGAACTAATCCACCTTATTTATATGCACTTCTTAATCAAGTTGTCTGCATCTTTTCCTTTTGTTTTTCTTGAGTACCAATTTTCCAGTCAAATATCATGAATTGGTCAAATATTTTTGCGTTCTATTTTCTTAATTACACATTCAATGAAGACTAAAAATTTGCTTGACTAAACTTAGTTCATAGATTAATACTTACCGTTGTTCGTCCCAATTTTTTTTCTATGTAGCACGGGTACGGCAACTTAGCGTCATACCAAGTACCTGATACATTCCCAATATGGATAAGGAACGGGTATAACTTGGGAGCGTCCCATGTTTAAGGGGTACGGCTGAAATTAATTGAGTATGTTGGAGAAATTTTTGAGTATCGAGGACGATATTTGATCTTTGCATGTGTTTAAATAATAAAAAAGGATATAGATGAATTATGATAATATTTTATTTTTTAATTAAGATTTAATTTCTCTTACAAAGAACTATTCTTCGGACCGAAGACCCGAAAAGTTGGTAGACTAACTCTAGTGTCGAAACTCCATTACTTCAATCTTTGTCTTTCAAAGTGTTGTTGTGAAAGAAATTGAAGTACTTATTCCATCGTCCACTCACTTAGGAGAAAAAAGTTAAATCCAAGTCGTTTTGAAGATTTTGTTTACATACACTATAATCTTTGTCTTTTATAAAAAAATTATAGTCATCATTAACTTTAACAAATATTTATAACCTTTTTATGTATTTTTAAATTTTATTTTATATTTATCGTACTCTTGTTGTATATGTACCTTATGATTTTAAAAGTTGTCCTTTTTCGTCTCCGTAAACGTCCCCATACTCGTATTAATACAAGTGTTTGAGATTTAGAAATTTGAATTTATAAGGCTAAGTTCGAATCCTATCGTCTTCAATCTTAGTGGGTAATCTATAAATTCTTATGTAAATTTCAATTGAATCTTAAATATATCATGTCCCTAGACTGGAGTCATTCCTAACCTAAACTTTTTATGTAAAAAAAATTAAAATTTGATAGTGTTTGACTAATATTGAGTTTGATTCTATGGCATGTATTCATACTTGTCTAACAAGCTACCAACCTTCATTTCCTGGAAATCGCGGATTTGACTTTTGGTATAATTATTTTGCTTTCATCGACTTTTGTTTGTACTTTCACACTGTCTTGCAGAAGAAAAAAAACTTAACATGTCATATAATTAATCATTTTATATTCTCTAAATATAAACTTAATCATTTTAAAATAAATATGAACACATTTAAAAATAAATAAATTAACACAAATATAACTTTATTCGTTCAAGCTTAGTTCATTTACACCCATAAATCGGGGCTATTAAAAATATTTGAAGGATGAGTTTGTAAAAGTAAAAAGATTTGTATTCGGTGAGTTGTGGTTACGTAAATTTATATCACAACAGATCTTGTGTAGTCCCCTGCCATATTTGCCTACAAATTTATGACGAAGACTGGTTTGCTGGTACAAATTAAGAGGTACCAATCCACCTTATTTATATGCACTTCTTAGTCAAGCCGTCTGCATCTTTTCCTTTTTGTTTTCTTTTTTGTACTGTTAATCGAGTACCAATTTTCCAGTCAAACATTGTGAATTGGTCAAATATTTTTTCATTTTATTTTCTTAATTTCACATTCAATGTTCATATATTATAACTTATTATGGACCAGCTGCTATTTTTTTTATTAACGCAAATATTTATTTTTTTAAAGATTTTTTTGAAAAGAATATTTATTTTAACGCGGGAAGATTTGTGGGTTTGGAGTTAAATGCAATGGCTTGTGGACTTGGAACATTGAAATAAGGAGTGTTCTCTTTATAACTCGAGTCCCCGAATCTCAAGTTTTGGATAATCTTCTCTGAACAGATATGTTTATGTTAAAGGAATGCATGCTTTTGTATCTAAATCGTATTGCTTGATCGATTTTTGGGAGAAAAATGTCAAATTTTCAATATGTTATATTTGCTGGTAAATTGATAATTTATACATATAAAATTTCATCATTCTTTTCACAAATTAATTGAACAATATTAAACAACTTTAATCCCGACGCCTTTGCTTTCCATGATGGGTTAGATTCCAATCCCACTCCATCTAAGCTAAGCTTTTCTGGAAATAGGTTTCAATTTTGGAAAGTTACACTCTTTATGGATTGGGTTTGGTGATTTTAGGTTTATAATTTAGAAGTTGACTGAATTTTTAGCATTTTTTTCTTTCAGAAATCTGTCCTTGCCAACGAGCATGGCCTATTCTGGGAGGGTGCTATATTGGTTTAGATAGGGAGAGAGAGAGAGATAAAAAGAGTGAAAGAAGAATAAACAAAAAAGAAGAAATGAGAAAAAATAAGTATTTTTATAAGAAATCAAAACTACGTGGTTTTAAACAAAATTTGATTT